TGCATAGGTCCAAATGTGTTTCAAATCTGGTTCAACAGACATGATGGAACAGTGGGACAGTTTGACTGACCAGCAAGTTCACCAGACCTTAGTCCCAGTTCTCATTTGCAAAGATCAGGTGAAATGACTAGGTTGAACTAGTATAGAATGGACTAGAAGGTGGCTAGTGTACTATTTACCTGGCAGGACTGACACTGGCATTAAGGCAAGAGGATGCATAAGTACAACCCCAATTCCAAAAAAGTTGGGACGCTGTGTAAAATGTAAATAAAAACAGAATGCAGTGAGACCATTTCCTGAAAAAAACATTTATTAATTTAGAACTTGATGGCAGCAACACATCTCAAAAAAGTTGGGATGGGGGCAACAAAAGGCTGGAAAAGTAAGTGGTACTAATAAAAAAAACAGCTGGAGGAGCAATTTGCAACTAACTCACATGACTGGGTATAAAAAGAGCATTTTAGAGAGGCAGAATCTCTCAGAAGCAAGCTTGGGCAGAGGTTCACCAATCTGCGAAAATCTGCGTCTAAAAACTTTCAGAAAAATGTTCCTCAACATAAAATTGCGAAGACTTTGAATATCCCACCATCTACAGTACATAATATCATCAAAAGATTCAGTGAATCTGGAGAAATCCCTGCGTAAGGGACAAGGCTGACGGTCAATATTGGATGCTTGTGATCTTTGGGCCCTTTGGAGGCACTGCATTGAAAACAGGCATGATTTTCTACTGGAAATCACTGCATGGGCTCAGACACACTTCCAGAAATCATTGTCTTTGAACACAGTTCGCCCTGCAATCCATAAATGCTAGTTAAAGCTGCATCATGCAAAGAAGAAACCATATACAAACAGGATCCAGAAACACCGGCAACTTCTCTGGGCCCAAGCTCATTTAAGATGGACTGAGGCGAAGTGCAAAAGTGTCCTGTGGTCCAATTAATCAAAATTTGAAATTGTTTGGAAATAATAGACACTGTGTCCTCTTGGCTAAAGACCATTTAGCTTGTTATTAGCATGCAGTTCAAAAGCCAGTATCCATGATGGTATGGGGGGGCATTAGTGCACATGGCATGGGTGTCTTGCACATCTGTGAAGGCACCTTTAATGCAAAATGAAGTATACAGGTTTTGACAACGTATATTGCCATTCAGATGATGTCTTTTTCAGGAAAGGCCCTGCTTATTTCACCACATTCTGCACCTATTACAACAGCATGGCTATATAGTAAAAAAGTTAGGGTGCTAAACTGACCTGCCTGCAGTAAAGACCTGTCACCTATTGAAAACATTTGGCGCATTATAAAATGAAAAATAAGACAAAGGAGACCCCAAACTGTGGAGCAGCTAAATTCCTATGTAAAACAAGAATGGGAAAACATTTCACTTTCAAAACTACAGCAATTGGTCTCCTCACTTCCCAAATACTTACAGAGTGTTGTTAAAAGAAGAGGAGATGAAACACAGTGATAAACATGCCCCTGTCCCAACTTTTTTGAGATGCGTTGCTGCCAAGTTCTAAATGAGTTAACGTTTTCCATGAAATGGTAAAATGTCTCACTTTCAACATCTGATATGTGTTCTATGTTCTATTGTGAATAAAATATGGGTCTATGGGACTTGCAAATCATTGCATTCTGTTTTTATCATTTTTTGTCCCGTGGCTTATCATCACCGCCGCTGTCTTAATTTAATTTCTTTTATCTAGCATTGTCTTGAATTGTGTAAATTCAAAGCTCCATTGTGTCAAGTCTATGCTCCAAAAAAGAGATTCATTTGAGAACAAACAAGCAAACAAACAAACAAACAAGAACAGATAATTAGAAATTTGATGGCAGTTCAGACTGTTCAGCCTATCTGCCTACGCAAAGGCAGTGTGAAAACAACAGCTCATGATTTATTGATGAAGCTTGTGGTTCAAATCAGAACAAATAGGGCTTACTCATCATGGGTCGCCTTTTGTGTTACAAGAAGTGACACTGTTCTCAGGACAGGCCTCTCCATCTCTGAGGCTGAAACAGATACAAGTGCGGCGGCGAGTCAACCCATCTTAACACTTCACACCGTTGTGTTGTGAGCTCACACACCTACGCTGCAGAGTCCCTACTAAAACCACCATATCTGTTGCCATATAACACACTGCCTGTGTGAACACGCTGCAGCACCTTGCTGCAAATGGCGTGGCCTTGAGCAATAAATGCTTTTGGTTGATTGTTTGTTTGCTGGTTGTGTTTCAGGCTTGCATGTATAGCAAGGGCATGTAGGTGTCCGTATAGATAAGTTACCATATCAGAAGTGAGCGTTGGTAGGTTTACCATAAAAGGATCTGCTCACTTAAGATTGTGACCTTGATCTAGTAGTGAACCATGACTTGTGCCAGGCCTTTGGTTTGAGCCATAAATGTCAAAACAAAACACTTCTACATTTCTGCAACCATCTGGGTATATAGTAGCCTTTTATAGTTGCATTTTAACACTGCGCTAATGGCAATTTTGCTGCTGTCCAACAAAAAGCATGTATTTCCATTTTTGTTGATTTTTATTTTTCTACATCATTTGAGCCCAGCAGCTGTCCTTTACTTTGTGTGACACTTTCATGATCAATGGGCCAACAGAAATGTTTCAAAATAACATAAAAAACAAAAAAACTTATAAAAAAAGAAAAAAACTCTTCACATTAACTTGCATTAAAAGTTAAAAAAAAATGTGCCTTCTCCTTTAAAGTTACTATTTTGGAGATACTTGTTTTTCTTTGGACAGCAATGATTTACTGGCTGTTCTAGGTCAAACACAGATATTAGAAGCTTGTAAAAGACATTAGCCCCTTAAATGGTCAGGGCCCTCCAGCAGTTTTATTACACACCTCTATAATGTAAGAATAGCTCTGCCAGTTTTCACTGAAGTCCCTGTACTTACTGAATAATAAGCCTTAGTATGTAATAAGCCTCTGATTTTAAGGGGTCAACATATGTTTTGCTTTGTATGTCGCATATACTTTGCTGTGTATGTATCAGTTTTACTGTGACTTTCAGTAAAGATCCCTGACATAGAGCTGCTGCCACTGTTTTACATTCATAACAACTGACTGAAACCTGGTTAGATTTCAGCTCACATTCAGTTTGTGACTTTCTAGTACTTTCAGGAGATCTAGAGTGATGTTTTTCTATTATGAAATCCGCTGACCCATTGTAAACCTAACCATAATTGGTTGATTCCACTGTCAGTTTCTAAATGTTAGTGCTTAATTCGACACATTAGGCTTTCAGTTCTCCTTCATATAATATCAACATTTTCAATATTTAGCGTGAACACCCTTTGCCTTTATTATAGTGTCCATTCTTTTAGGGAAACTTGCTTTCAGTTTTTAAGAAAATCTCCAAAGTTCGGTCTTAGAAGCTGGTTGCATGATGATGGTCAGTCCACTGTTCTGAGAACACCAGCAGCTGATTTGTTTGATTTGCAGATGTAATTCTTTTTTGACTGTTTTCTTTTCCCAGTAAAGGCCTCTTGACAGCTACACATCCTTTCAGACCCACAGCGCTGAGTTGGCTTCTCACAGTGGAAGGATGGACAAAAATACTTGTGGATGTTTTCAGATCTAAAGCAAGAGTGGAGCTCAATTTTTTCCTAGCTCTCAAAGATGAAAGCTTTAAGTGCTGATTATCTGATGTGGACAGTTGTGGTGGTCTACCAGGTCATGGACGGTTGTTAGGCGTACCAATTTCTCTACGTTTTAAACATTTTTTTTAGTTTTGGAAACTTTTCCCTTTTTGACTTTCCTTGAAGTCCTAACCAATGGTGGAGCTAAAAATCCTACATGGACAATTTTCCTTTGGACATTTTAAGAATTGAACCCTCTTGTTTGCAGCCAGAACTGAAAAAAGAGTATTTTCACAACAGTTTCAATACAACAAGCATGATGATTAACTTAACTCTTTCAGTTGCAACCTACAGAAAGGCTGATTTCAAAAAGCATCATAAAGGCTGCACAATTTTAAGTGCTTGGATTAGAAATTTTGCCAGGATCTGGCAACCCTAGAAAGCGAGGCAACATATAACATTTAAATGTCCAGAATGAGCTGTATGAGGTATTTTGAGGTATTGTATGAGGCTTATTACATACTAAGGCTTATCATTCAGTAACTACAGGGACTTCAGTGCAAACTGGTAGAACTATTCTTGGGTTATAGAAGTGTGTAACAAAACTTTGGCCTGCCGATGGGCCCTGGCCACCTAAGGGGTTAAGAATTGCATGGGAAGTGACATTATTAGAAACAGGAGAAATGAATACAACGGCACAAATATGTCAGTGGTCATAATGCGTCATAGTGTTGTTCACCCCAGAAAGCGATATGACAACACCTAACATGGACAAAAATCAATATCAGCTTGACGACAAAGTTGACAAAACCAGCCTTTGTGAGAACTGACGCTTATTGGAATAAGCCTTATAAATGCAGGTTAATGTCAGTCATGAAAGGCTTATGTAGGATGTACTGTAGCCTTATGAGTGCTGCCTTTCAATAAAGTGTTACCACCTATTACATATTACCAAATAACTGATAGTTATCACTGGGTAATTGGTCTTGAGATTAATAGCTGAATGAACATCCTGCAGTATAAAAGGTTTAATTAAAAATGACAGACATACATGTTTTTTTATTTCTCAGAAATCATTAGGCCTTCTCTAAAGGTCAGGAAGCCCTGAGGGTTCCCCACTTGCTTAATCAAGTTTACACGGAAGTGAGCTAGGTTGAGAATGGCAGGAAAAAGTGTGAGAGAAAGATATTACTGTAGACGTAATGAGGAGACAGATCATTTGTCTAAACCAACAGTGTGAGGCAGGAATGTGCTGCACTAACCTCATTTCTCACACTGGCACTGGGGAAAATACGCATACATTTAGCATATCATCTGCTTGAAGCATGAGAGATGCTGATGTCACTGTAGTCATCTTCCACCTGTCAGAAGCTCCATGTGAACCATCTTTGTGTGTTCTCAGCCTCCGGTAGTGAACACACTCCTCCTCCGATGACTCCGGTAATGAGCACTCTGCTCCGCTGCTCGCTCTGTCATTTCTGGGAAAAGACTCTGACTATGCAAATACCGGTTCCTCCCCCACACTTTATTGATGCTTTGGTAAACAGCTACAGCGTGTGGGCTTGCGTGCCCTCAACCACCCACAGTCACATGCTGTTCTCCAGATAGAAAAGTTGTTCTCAGTTGCACTCCTAGGGCGACCACTGTATCATTTTTTGTTTTACCAATGTACTGAATGCTCTGTGCTGCTGTTCAAAGCTACTTCTAGTCACTTTATAAGAAAACCCTACCTTGTGGCTCCAAATTGCTGATGTACAGTTAAAGGCTGTAGCCCATCTGTTGATGCACCATTGTGTCCATCACCCTTGAGCCCTTCATTAACCCCTTAGAATCCTAGGCTTATTACATACTAAGACTTATTATTCATTATAAAGCAGTTAGTTCCGGTCACGCAAACTGATTGGTTGAGAAGCATTCTAACTGTGCTGTTATTTTGCCATAACATCATGTTTTTTTCACAAACACTATCACTCTGCTGACATGCTGTTGCTAAGCAATGACTTTGACAGCTGTAGGAGACGCTCAAGCCATTTGAATTTTTTTACTTCTTACTTTGCCACAAACAGAAAATGGACACTTCTAAGATTACATTTGACCTTCAGACTCTGAAGATGAGACGACACTAAATTCCCAAACTGTCATTACCACTCATTTTCAGTCGGCAGCTGTGACAGAAGAACAGCTAAACAACCTGGAATCAGCCAGAAATTAACTGAATACCATTCGCCAAACAAAATGGGCTGTAAGGTGCTTTACAGACTGGCTGGAACAAAACAACATTAATGATGTTAACTTGATATTGTGGCAGTTTCATGGCTCAGTCCAATTTCGTCAGACTGTGAAGATGAGGCTACACGTTTGACGAATGGTATTCTGTTCATTTCTGGCTGATTCCAGGTTGTTTAGGTGTTCTGTCACAGCTGCCAACTGAAAATCTTGCTCAGTGCTAATAAAAGTTTCCGAATTTAGTGTAAGGAGCTGAAGAACGAACTGCTGGCTGTGCAGCGAGTGAGCGGAGCTCGTTACTCTGATGTAGCAACAAGCTGCTTGTTACTAAACTATAATTTGGCAGAAGGAATTGCTGACATTAAAACATATTAAATGCCACGTTCACAGCCCAATTTATTTATTTCGTACTTTATTTATTTAACTGTTGTATAAAAGCACTTGAGGTTGTGTGTTATCGCCAATAACATCACGGCTGTGATGACCTACCGCAACCAAATCACAGCCGTGATGTTATTTCGCAATAACACACTCCCTCTCGTGTTTATTGCTTAAGTAACTGCAAACTGACAGAGCACAGACTCCCCAAGCACTGTATTCTTAGGTTTAGAAGTGTATAACAAACTTTGGGTCCATTGGTGGGTCCTGGCCATTTTAGCGGTTAATCGTCGGTTTCTGACCACAGAGAAGCTCTTGACTGGATATTTTTGGTGGTGGACCACTCTCCATGTACCAGTGACACTGACATCCCCAGCGGCACCACTGTGTCTGATAGACTCAAACCATTATCACACACTGTGCTGTGGATGATCCACCACCCAAATCATATCTGGTCAGCAGTGGTCCTGTGGTCGAACTTGACCAATTATAAATGGGCTAGAGTTGGCTAGGATGAAGTGACAATTGACTGGACTTACAGTTAAAACAGCTTTTAAATACGTTATTAAATAAGTTATTAACTTTTAAGGACCAGAAAACATTTGTTTAACATAGAATTACACAGAAGCCCCAACAACTAATTTTAATATAGCAATTTTCAGTATTTAGTGTGTCCACTCTCTGCCTCTATTACAGCTTCCATTGCTTTCAGTTTTTCAAAGAAATCTGCAGAGATATTTTTCCACACCTCCAAAGTTCAGGAACTTTGGAAGTTGGTTGCACTTTCTGCTTCTCACGATCTAAATAATCCCAAACACATTCATTGATGTTGAGGTCTGCACTCAACAGTCCATTGTTCTGAGTGGTCTTGTTGCAGTTTTCATGATCTAAAATGTATATAGTTTATGTTATATTCTCCCATTTTCTAACCAGACAGATCACTTTCTCTAGAGTTTCTAGTTGAATTTGTAACACTTACGCAACATGAATCTGTAAGACCACCAAAGCAGACCACAGTGAGGTCAAAGAGACCACTGTGATCATTATCCTAAGTCATGAATGCTACTACTGTGGTTTATGCATTTTTGATGCACCAGCTTTCACCACATCTCATCCTGCAGGGCTGCAAGGCAATATTCCAATCTATATTTTGATCACAACAGATAAAACCCTGAAGTTCTCTATAAAAGCAGCTGTTTTATCAAGTGATCAGCCATAAGCCTAGTGAAGGGTAATAATGAGTGTACATAACATTGACAACTGTGAGTTATACAGTGAAAGTATCCCATATGCAGTTTTCCTGTCTAACCATACAGAAAATAACATGGCAAACCAGCAACTTCACTTCCTCAAATGGTGAATGCCAACTCATGTTCATGTGTCTCCTAGTGGAGAGCACTGAGGTTAACAATAACTCATTTGGACTAATAATAACAGCTTATTACGTGTAGCATGCTTGTGAGTCAGGGCAGCATCAGATTCTGTTTTTAGGGAAGTATGCATTCCATTTGAGAGCTAATAATATCTAATCCAGCAAACACTACATTTGTGCTGTATCTGTATGTATTCAGTAAAGGCAACACCAGCTCTGCACTTCTGAAACCCCAACACAGGAACAATAAAAGTTACCAATGTTGGTTATGCCTTTTTTCCAAACACTCACAACAGTTTTGAGATGTTTTCATGTTATAACAATCCTAAAATTCATTACAAAATGTAAAAAGGCAGAATTATATTTCAAAAAACACCTTAACTACTATGTTCTCAAGGTCTATAAAAAGATAGTGAGTCCACAGTTGAACTTTTAAATTTAATTCACAGATCATTTTGATGAATTTTTATGAGCCTTGATTATTTATAAGCCTTTTTTTGTCATCCAGGCATGCAGTGATGACTCATACTGCACTAGGGCTTGTGGTTTTGAGGGTCTGTGGAGCATTTCCAAATGTCAGCATAAAAATACCAACTGTCAACTCTACTGTGTTTGCACTAAATGTGCAAGTGTAATCAGTGACATTTCACCACATACACACTGCGTCTGCTAAACACTAATAGTCACAAACTGTTCGGTGGGGCATTTCAAACCGCATCCTGTCTGATCTGTAACACAAAGCATATATCTGCAAAATATGCACCGGACTTATCAGATTATACTGTCTTGCGCTTTCATGCATCCACGCAAGCTTCAACTGTCTGCTTTGACAGAAGTGGAGACAGATCTAAGTGATAAACACAACAACTATTTTACTTTTCTCAGTAGAGATTATCTGTGTTTCTTTCCTTGACTGGATACAACATGAACTCACTGGTAATGGTAGTGTTCTCTAGCTGATTGGGACCAATCCGAACCCACCCACATTTAAAAATATAGGTACCATAAAGACAAAAGGTTTTAGCTGACTGTTTGCAAAATTGTCCGTCAAGATTGGGCTACTTGGTGGCATCTATAATACTTAGTGCTAGGTGCTCAGTGCAGATGTTTATGTTTGAGAACTGACAAATCATGAATATTGGCCAATTTTAAAGGGAAGAAAAAAGGATTCTGGAAGCCTTATTTTCATTAATCAAACAAGGGAAATTGTTTAGTCATTTGACGTTAAAGTGTCTAATGAGTAGGAAGTAGATTTTAGCAAAACTCTAATGAAGCAATAAAAGAATGGCATGTGTAGGAGTGCGGTAATATTTATTAATATTTGGATTTTCCAAAGTTGCCACTGTCGCACCCAGTGGTACACTAAAAGGTTCCGAACCAGACATGTTTTATCCTACATACACTTGCTAAATGCTCCTTGATCAAACATTTTTACATCTGAGCTAATAGCGAGCTACCACTCCTGTGCACTGAAATGACACTGCAAGAAAGTCTACTATTCAACTTCAACACATTGTATAATAACACCAGCTACTCTTAATGCACCAAAAGAGACTCTTCTATGATATAGCTTCAAAGAACCATTTCAAACTCTGCTGACCTTTAGCAAATTTTCTGTTGACAGAGGAAACAGCGTATGGAGATGTCTGTAATTGACAATCAGCTAATCACAGTCATCTCTAACCACTACTCTAACCACTAACAAAACACTCTGATAAAAATCTTCAGTGAGAATGGCAGTAATTTAGTCCAAATTATTACATTTATTATAATTATTACATTATTATTACAGAAATTATTACAATTATCATCATAACTGGTAGAAAGTTTTTACTAAGGACTGTGTAATGCACGCCATCCTGATCATTTGTAATGTAATGCTATTTTTATTCCTGAACCTGAAAAGGTTTTGGATGAAACAATGCGGAGGACCTCTTTCAGTGTCAAAACTATCAACAGGCTCTAAGGTAAGCTAAGCTTTATCTGGGTTACTGCATTTAATATAATGTACAAAGATAACCCATCAGAAAATAAATCAACAGATAAATCAGACTAAACAGGACTGTACAGTGTTCAGAGTGCTCACATTACATTAAAAATGTGTTTTAAGATAACTTAATACTCATACATCTGCCATTGTTTGTACTGCTTCAGTAAAGTTTTCTAAAAGGTGGCTTATTAAATACATTAAGTCTTGCTGAGAAGCCAGTTAGTGCTGAGTAGAGCTTTTAGCAAACCGTAATAATGCAAAAGGACCATTCAACACTTTTTTGGAAATGTAGCAGCTTATGAGATTCAGGACGGTGCTTAGCAGGCTTCTATGGTGCGGCTATAGGACTCCAGTTTATTTGGGTGAGACACAGGATGATTTCCAGTTTGTCCCTCTGGAGAGACATATATTACCTGACATAACTTGCTGTAAGTTTGAGTGACAGGTGCCAAAAGGAAAGGCAGCCTTTTCCACCCTAAGTCTTCTAATCATATGACCACTAATTTCATCTACAACTGACAAAACATTATGTTTTACAATTTCAATTCCAGCATGGATATCATAAGAAGTTTCCCTTTAAGGGTTACTGTGGGAACCCCCCACCCTCACTTGCGGTGTTCCTCTCCCTGCCGTTCTCATCCAGCTTTGCCCCTGCTCGGAGCTCGGGCCCTGCCTTCCTGCTCCTGCCAGCTCTCACGGCCGACCACTGGGGCCCAGTGGACGGGGGCATGCCACAGTCACATCAGAGGGAAAAAGACAGGAAATTCCAATGACTGTGAAATTCCAATGACTACTGTAGCTGCTATCTTGACCTATTTACTGGTAATGCTCATTTCAGTAGACCGGAAAAACAGTGTTTTAATAATCACTTTTGTTGTGTAGCCACTCTGTCTTTCCATCAGCAGACTCTGCTGGACAAAGAACAGAGCATTAATCCAGAGACATTTTGTATATCAAACTTGTTTCATTTTCAAAACATCTTATAAACGAAACTTGCTCAGGTCCCCCAGCTTCTCACCTGATTTTTGCACTGATAAGGCTTTGAAGTGTGCAAAGTTTGGATTCCCAGCAAAGCTATGGTGGATTATTCATCTACATGATGCACAATTGAAGTGTTACTTCCTGTGTGTGAATTAAAGCTACTTTCATAATCTCATGTTTACATGTCTGAGTTGCATTGATCTTTTATTTATTTACTTATTGCTCTATAAAGGTCATAGACAGTCATTTTAGACCCTGTTTCACCTAAATGTTTTAAAAATTGATACTATTCTGAAGATCTAATGTAAATTTGAAAGATTCACTTTTCTCTGTTCATTGTTGCTCCCCCATAGCTTTCCAGATGCCTGGGTTGTAGTGTATATTTTGATGTAGACAATGCTATTTGACTTGATACTTCACACCTCTTTGACACATTCTTCTGATATGCACAATAATAAAGTAATGGGTTTTCTCCAAAATTACTTGTTTAATCTTTCTGATTACACATTTGAAGGTTTTAGACAGACTTCTACTTAAAAGCCATACAGCCATACAAGGCAACATTAGGGTTGCTCACAGTAAGCAAACATATCTACTGTGTGATGTGTAATTTAAAAGAGTGCCAGGAATATTGCCAGGAACTTTGACTAAACCCCAGGATCTGAGAGTCCTGCCGTACAGCATTTAGAAAGGAGAACAGAAATGATTTTAACATAAAAACAGAAAGTAAAGTGTATGAATTCAAACGGTGTGTCACGAAAGTATCACAATGCTCTGCTGCTGTTATAGTTTACACATCATAGTTAATCTACTCAGAACTGCAGTATTTGCATTCTTTTCTTTGATTTCTTTCCATCGCTCCAAAAATCTTGAAAATTGTAACTTTACAAGAGAAGGATAAAACATTCTTAACTTTAGTTGGTGCATTCATTATGGGATATTAACAGAGTGTGTTAACTTTTTAAGCAAAAAAGTAAAAAGTGACAAAAAAGGCAATACGAAGTGTTGTGCAACAGTAACATTATACAACTTACTGTCTGCCTGTCTTGTACTGCATATTTATTATACTATGTAGTATTTATTGTAGGGCTTATTTACTGTTATGCATTGATCTGTAGTTGGTACTGAACACACTTACTATCTAAGTTACTTATCCTCCTGCTTATCCCATAGCTAATTGGACAGAAGGCAAGAAACAACAGACGCTGGTAGAACATACAAACTCCACAGACAGAGGACCCTGGTTGCCTGGCCGGGGAATCGAACCCTGGTTCAACTGCTCTTTATGCAGACTATGTCTGTCTGACTTGTGTGGTCCTGTAAATACATATCATTTGTGTATGTCATACCAAGGCCCTAAGAATGTTGTTTTGTTCTTGATTTTTGTCCTCTTTTTTGTCCACACTTTATTAATGTTAAGAGTTTTAGTGCCTGAGTAGATTTTCTACGGTTTTATTTCTCTTACACAATGTTAGAAGTGGAGCAGGGCAGAAGTTGACTTTAAGTGTTTTTGAGGATTGAGTTTTGCCAAACAAAAAATTTACTCTACTGTGTTTCATTCAAAGTGTTTTTTAGTTAAACTAGATAAATGAAATGAAATTAAATAGTTAAATGACAAATACATTTAGTATATGTTTGGCTAAACTCCTGTAGACTGAATAGGAGCGTGAATGTAAATAAGTTGATTCTCATAACAGAAACAATGAATTTAAAGAGGAGGAGCTGTTTTTGCAGTTCAGTTTCCATATAGAACTGGAGGTGGAACTGCATGTTTTGATACTTTAACAGTGTTTACATTCTATGAATAGTGTGACAGAACCAGCTAGACACATGCCGTTAAAAATAAGATCTGAAGGTTTAAAGGGTTTGGTAAAACTTGTAATCGGTAAACAGGCAGTTAAGAGAGGTTCTCCCTCTGGTGTGTACTTTGAGCTCTGTTTACATGCACAAAAAGCTATAACACAGTAAACGAAAGAGAAAAACTGGAAAAGCATGATAGATCTTTAACTAGCAACAATTTACTAATGTAATGTGTAAGTGTGCTACTATGGAAATTGGAGTGTAGAAAGAAATGATGTGTAAAAGCTGAATGGAATAAAACTTGATATTTGTAGCCATTGTCTGTTTATTATATTTGTTGTCTTTAATATTTCCTTGTGACAACCAAATGTGCAGTGGATGTTAGCTTCAAGTTCAGAGTTAAAACCAGGATAATAACCAGAGCTGTAAATCACAGCACATAGCATTTAGTGATTTTAACTTAGTTACCAAAAAAGTAATGTTTTCTGGTCTTTTTTGTGCTCTCTGTGTGGTTCCCATTGTTTTCTCCAACACTCATACCTGCCTAGGGGGAGGTGTAAATATTTAGTGACTGTTAAGTTCAAATTTAAACTAATTTGTGTGGTGCAACCTGTTTTGATTTAGTAAAACCTGAAGCTAGTTTTAATGGCAGCGATCTGATGCTAGCTGCAATGGCAACAAGTCAAGTTAAGAGGCTTTTACTGTCAATCCATCTATGTACAAGTACACAGTGGAGTGAAATTACGTTCCTCCAGGAACAAGGTGCAACAAGGAACAAAAGTACAAAAGTACAAAAATATAAAGTGCACACGTACAGACGTAAGTGTGCAAACAAAAATTAAGCTAGAAACAATACAGTAAATACGATAAATTAAACAGACATTAGACACAGTAAACAGACAGGACAGTGTAGCACCGACACAGCACAGATTTCTGGACATGAGGTAGTGGAATAAGGTGCAGACATATTTAACATGCTGTGATGTGTAAGTTACGTCAGATAACATACATAAACGTTCCTCTCCCGGAAATGCTCTTTTCTAATTTGGTAATGACCTTTTCCACACATTAACTGAGATCTTACACATCTCCTCTTTTGTCTTCAGTTTAAGAAATGAGTAACACTCCATTCTTTCCATCTGTCTCTTGGGAAATTGGGCAGGTTTTTAGATTTACAACAAATATGTTGCAGCATATCATAAAGTTTTTAAGAGGCATCCTGGGCATAGTTACAGTTGCTAGGCTATGAAAGACCAACTGGGTGAACCACTTTGCTATAGCACTACCCTGTAGCAGACCAGTGCTGCATCTCTAGAGGTTGATTAGGAGGTCAAGGACCCTCTAAGACCCCCTGTATTTCCACCTTGCCTATGTTTGAACTTAAGTACAAATGGTGCAACTAACCCCAGGTTCCATGTACAGGAGAACACTCCATGAAACTGTGCTATGTAGCGGTTAAGTGGTTCTCCCGTCCGGCTTCACCCGTTCCTAGTACTGCACACACACACACTCTCAAAATGTTCTTAAAGTTTTAAAAAATACTCTTTTCTGACATTTTGTAAACATAAGAATTTGATGTTGTACATGAACAGTTGCTAAAGGTTTCAAACTGTACTGTTAACTCCTTAGTTCATACAGCACACATATGGAAACTAAACAATTAAGGAATGTTTTAACCCAAACTGCTTTTTAAATGAGGCACAACGCAGGGCAGCCAATCAGAGCAGGGCTCGTTTACATATATCAGTCTTACAAAAACGAATTGTGGCTTTTTTGATGCATGAAACCACACAAATGTTGCAAGTTGGGGAAAAAATACAAAACATGTAGGTTCTAAAATAGTTTTTGGCTTCAATGTAAGGTTCTAGGAAAAACATCAAGTTGGTGTTAAGGTGTTACGTTATGTGGAAAGTTCTTTTGTGGTGGAAAAGAAGTTCTTTAAACTTTTAAGCTTCTTTTCACTCGCAAACCTCATTTACACTGAGCTAAAGGGTGTTATCTAAACTATAGGCCCTCTCTGATAATCTCTCTCTCTCTCTTGCTTAGTAAGGCAGCATGCTAAAGGCAAGTAGCCTGTATGGGCTGAGTATGCATAAACAAAGTGCCATACACAGGAAGTTTCATCACTTTTATTTCTTGAAATCAGGAGGAGGATATTAAATGTGTTGTTCATAAATCAAAAGTTAAAGATAAGATCTAACTGCAAATGAAATATCACAACTTAAATGAAATATGAGTGAAAAGCAGAACAGAAAAATCACCCTTTGTCCCAGTACTGTTTGAACCACCCCCCTCCACTTTACTCCATGCGCGCATGTTGCAAAAGCATCAGCTTTTGTAAATCTTCTGCCTACACAAAAACTGAGTGAAACCTGAGTGCAAAAAATGGTATGGTTTCATATTCCACTTGTTACTGCTTGCAGAAATTCAGCATATCACAATACAAGCTGCTAGTACTACGTATATGGCCTGCTGACTCAACGAACCAGCTAATTACAGAGCTAATCCGAGAAATATTCGCTGTTAGCAAGTTGGTTTGCTAACAAATGACCTTGTGTCTGTTTTTGTCATATTTCTTTTCTTTCTTTTTTTATTTAAAAATGCCAGTTGGCCCTTAGCATTGTGTGCAATTTTCATAATGTATGGACCAATAGAAATGGTCCAAAATTAATTGGAGAAAAGTCTTGTTACACTGACTGACATTAAAATTATGTTTTAAGCTGATGTAACAGATTTGGCAGTTGGCGCTCTCCTCTAAGCGTGTTTAACTGTCCAATGACGTTGCATTACTGGCAGTTCAAAAAGAGGTGTGGTGGTGCTTTGCATGACTTGGAGGAACTATTGTGTGACTGGGGGAGACCTAGCTAGTAGGTCAAACTACTCAATTGGGGAGAAAACTGTGAAAACGCCAAAAAAAGAGAAAACATTGTGTTTTGGCTTTTTCGTTTTCCTATGAAGTTACCACTTTTGAGACACTACAGCAACAATATGGAAGCTAGTGCATTAGCTAACTGAGGTTCAATATTCTTTAATAACCTTTTCTTTGCCATTGGGCTTGACTGTTTAGAATTTTGTCATTGCATGATTGATTTCAAGAGCTATCAAAATACCATCTTAATTTAAGGAACTATGTGGTTTTGGTTCTTGAAGATACCAGTGAGTAATATAGGAATATTCCATGAAAGGAGCCAGAAATGTTTTTATGGTGCTGCTTAAACAAATGTTTGGTTTCACTTGACCCACTTAATTTTAGAAGTGCAATTAATAGAGTAACCAGTTCAGGAGAAATTACAGATATTTTGTACACTGTGATGCTACTTTCAACCTCCACTCACATTACTTCACATGGTAACAAGTGATTTAACTGGTTTCATTTAACTCAAGTAAACACTTTGAAACATTTTAGTTTGGAAGCAAGATTTGGTATCAATTCAAACCTCAGAAACACTTCCATTCAACTTTTGCCCTCTTCTACTGCAACTTATCCCAATTATTGGATGGAGCTCCATCACTCCAGAGTATGCAGTTCCACTGTTCTACAGCCCAATGCTGGGGGGCTTTTTACCCCTCTAGCTGATGCTTGGCACTGAGCACGTTGACTCCAGACTCTTGTGTGGCTGCTCCAGAGCATCCCATTCTGTTGGCAAGGATTATACAAGCTGTACTTAAGCAACTGATGCCTATGTCACCTTAAAGTAGCTAAATTCACTAACTAGGAGTGTCTTGATACTTCTGGACAAAAAGTGTGTGTATATATTTGATATTCAGTACTGTGCAAAAGCCTTAGGCACCCAGCAAAAGGATTTACAACAATTTATCTTGGTTGTTTTTTTTTTTTCTGCTTATAAACAACAATGGAGCATTATAAAACATAAAGATTAATGTAATAAAGTGTAACAAGAATCTCATTTTCAAAAAAGTAGTTGGTATTCTGGAAGCTTGTTAGAAGGAATTTTGATACCAGGTTTTGATACGAGGCTCTGTGTTTACAGTAGGAGAGACTTTTACTGTAAATAAGTAATTGTTAGCTTAAAGATATGCACGTGTTATTTGTGTTATTCTGTGCAGGGCTGTGGGGTAGATAGTGCAGCATTAGTGCCTACCATCAGGAGAAAGTGTATAGCTAGAAGTAATCTGTCTACTCTCTCAGCCACTTCAGCTGCACGTAGCAGGGGTCCCCATGTTCAATAAAAGAGCATTTGCCTTTACAGCGCAGTGTTTTCCGTGTCTTCTTCTTCATTGATGCCACACTACTTTATTCTACTATTTTTTAAGTGGGTGAACTATAAAGTAAGTGAGAATTAACAGAAAATGTTATTTTTTAAAAAATAGTTTGCTGTAGAACTTGTGTTACTTCTTTTTACTTCAAAAAACAACAAAATTAGTTATTTGGATGGGGTGTCCAAACTTTTGCTTGCAACTGTAACATAACTACTTATCATGTTAATGTTGTTTGTTCTGAGTGAATAAATGCTTACTGTCCAGTTAAATAGCTTTTGAAATATATGATTTTGCACAGCACTGTATAGTGTGGACATATATGACATGCAGTGTGTGTTATACATAAACCCAATGTCTATATATATATTATATACACACACACACACACACACACATTATCTAAGCCACTTATCTTACTGGGTCACAGGTGGGTGCTGGAGCCTATCCCAGCAGTCATTGGGTGAAAAGCAGGAAACACCCTGGACAGGTTGCCAGTCAATCGCAGGGCACACAGACATATACAATCACACACACACACACACACACACACACACACACACACACACTCACATCCATGGGCCAATTTAGCCAGCAATTTAGCCATGTCCAATTTGCCTGCACACCAAAAAAGTTGGGGTGCTGTGCAATATGTAAATAAAAATGTTAATACCAGCAACATGTTTTAAAAAAGTTGGGACAGAGGCATTAAAAGACTGGTAAATTTGTGTAATGCTAAAAAAACGCCTGGTGGAACATCTCACAACTAATTAGGTTAATTGGTAACAGGTCAGTAACATGATAGGGTATAAAAGTTCATCACTGTATCCACAAATGCAAGTTAAAACTCCACCATGCAAAGAAGAAACCATATATAAACAGATCCAGAAACACCGCTGCTTTCTCTGGGCCTGAGATCATTCAAGATGGACTGAGGCGAAGTGGAAAAGTATCCTGTGGTCTAATGAATCAAAATTTAAAATTCTTTTTTGGAAATCATGGACTCCATGTTCTCCGGGCTAAAGAGAAGAGGGACCAGCTTTTCACCAGTTCCAGTTCTAAAGATTTACCAGCACAGTTCTAATGCCAGCACCCGTGACAGTATGGGGGTGCATTAGTGCACATGGCATGGGGGACTTACACATCTGTGAAGGCACCATTAATGCTGAACGATATGTACAGATTTTGGAGCAACACATGCTGCCATCCAGATGGCGTCTTTTTCAGGGAAGGCCTAGCTTATTTCAGCAAGACAATGTCAAACCAAATTCTACATGTATTACAACAGTATGGCTCCATAGTAAAGAAGTCTGGATGCTAAACTGGCCTGACTGCAGTCCAGACCTGTCACCCATGAAAATATTTGGCACATTATAAAACAAAAAAATTGACAAAGGAGACCCTGAACTGTTAAGCACCTGAAATACTATATCATGCAAGAATGGGGAAACATTTTACTTTCAAAACTACAGCAGTCAGTCTCCTCAGTTCCCAAACACTTACAGAGTGTCGTTAAAAGAAGAGGTGATGAAACACAGTGGTAAACGTGCCCCTGTTTGAACTTTTTTTGAAACATGTTGCTGGCATCAAAAAGAAAATTCCTCAGTTTCAACAAGTATGATATGTTGTCTTTTTTTTTTCAATTAAATAGTACAACATTCAATTAAATATACATTGCATTCTGTTTTTATTCACAATTAGCACTGCATCCCAACTTTTTTGGAATCAGGGTTGCATATGTGTGTATATACATGCATATATATATATATATATATATATATATATATATATATATATATATATATATATATATATGTATGTGTGTGTATATATAATTAATATTATGGTATAAATATAACATTGTAACATTTCAAAAACATCAGAAAGAGAGAGAGAGAGAGAGAGAGTGGGAGCACTGCACTTAGGAAAATGTTCATGTGACAGTCGTGGTTTAGTGTGCAGGAAGTCGACATTGTCATAGACAGGAGCTGTATGAGAAATGCAATAAAGAAATGGAGGGGTGTATCACAGGACACGTCACAGTGCTGAAGGTGGCAAAAGCTCAAAGAACAAACAAGCCAGACTCAGAAGGACAGAGACAGAGGGACGCTGCCACGCCGTGAAGTTTAAAAGAGCTTTAGCTTCAGTGTTTAAGCCTTGCTGAGATTGTCTGAGGCTCTAGAACAGGAGACAAGAGCCAGGGCGAAAGACCTGCGTGACACTGACTCTTCTGACAGCACCATCACAGTGAGCACTTCAGAAGCGTGTCGGGTTCAGAGGAGGGAAACGGGCCATACATGAGGCGCTGACATCAAGAAGTTCAGTACAGACCAAAAAAGGACTAGAAAGGTGAAGAAAAATGAGAGATATCAGCGCCATGGAGAATAAGTGGATGTTGAGAGCCGTGTTTGTTCTGGCTGTCTGTCTCACAAGAAATCTCACATCAGGTTTGTTCATCTTGTTTTCTCTGCACCCAGTTTACCTTGGTTTTCATACACTAGGCACACAGTTTAAAACAATGAACGCTGAGGTTGTTTGAGTAAGATGCAATACTGTGCAAAAATCTTAGACATCTGAGAATATGACATGTAAAGCTTAGGCATTTAATTGTTTAAAAATACACTAACTGGAATAAACATTGGAATATGGAAAAAATAAATGGTGGTTCGATGTGTTAGCGTAACCATTTCTAGATCTCTCCTTAAGAAAGTCCAGTATTTACAGTTACCACCAATGCCATCCAATAGCTTATCTAAAAAATCCTTAATTAAGTTAAATCACATGCTTCTGATGAAAGTTCTGTGCAATGGCTTAACTACAGCGAGAAATCAGGAACCAAACTCAAACATTTTTGTTATATTTCACTGTATTCATGTTTATTTGCATTTATTCTAATGTTAGTGTTTTTACTGGCAGAGACACGCTTACTTCCGCGACTTCAGAAGATCCTAAGACTTTTGCACAGTACTATACATATCGAAATCTCCTAACTTCACTTTTTATATATTCACTATTTAAAAACATCAGCAACCATTTACATTGTCTGAGCTTTCCATAGTGAATGGACTAATAGATATGGTCCAAAATTACTTGGAATAAAATACAATTGCACAGTACAGCTGCATAGACACTTTCATGAACTTTTAATACTGTTAGTTGTTGGGAGCGGACTTTGCACAAAAAAAAAATACGAACTATCTGTGCTATATTATAAGTAATACCACTTTTATTAAAGAAATAAAAATGTGTTTTTTTAACTGAGTGTGTTATACGTCAGTCAAATTTTTTTCTCATTTTGAATGAACATACAGCATTTTGGAATAGAACTCCTCATATATGATCTCATTCCACCAGCCGTTCTTCACTGTGTCTTCATACTTGTATTTCAGCATTATTCCTTTTACTGAAAGCTTTTTTATAGTGCACTTGACTAAATTTGCACTAATCAATCTTTAATTTAGTGACTCCTAGGATAAATATATCAGTTGCAATAGACTGGAGACAAATAGACAAATCTGGGCGACATAGCAGAAAATATTAAGATATGTCACTATATTTATTTTTACATGAACATACAAAGACAAAGTAGTGCCACTTTTATAAAATACTGTCAAAACTATGAATGCCATTATTTTATTTAGCATTTCCCATACTGTGCTGCACTAAAACCAATTAAACAGGACTAATTTCACATTTTTTGACTAACATGCAGTTGGGAAGTGCTTTTTAAGTACTGGTGAAATCCACAATGTACAAGAATATTGTGACATATTGTGAGGTAATGTATCACGATAATGATAACTTAAATCATATTGCTCAGCCCAAAAATAAACTGAAAGTGTCATGTGAATCATTTCGCTTGAGACATGTGGCTGGATTTAAGAGAAATGATTTGCAGTTGTGGTTCATAAGAGGGACACCTGTTGGCATAGTTTCACCCACAATGGAAGGAAAATTTGCCATGAAACTCAGAGGGTAGTGCAGTGCGAGGAGGATGGCACAATGACAACTGTGGCACAGTTTCCTCACGTCTGTATACACAGAGGTGTTGGTGCACGTGTCTGTGTTACTTTCTGAGTAACAGCTACTGTGACACAGCTGTCTTCCTCCACGGGGGGATTCTCAGGGGGAACTTACTGAGGTTTCTTTTGTTTGCTGAGACCACCTTGAACGTGAAACTGAAAACATGAGTATGAAGAAGTAATTTGTGACCTCAAACCCAACAGCAGTGGAACATGGAATGAGATGACATTTTGATTATTGTAACTGTCAGTCTGATGGAAGCTTTATTTTTATGCTTTCATATTCTGTCAGTTGCAAGTTTTTTTTTCTGTTTTAGCATCTCAGCTTTCAGTTGTTCTGCAGAATGAATGGTTTCTCTCATCTTGAGTTGGCCGACTAACAAAGCTACCCTGACACAATCTAATGATTCCTATTTCCTATGACTAACATTCACACAATGTAACCTACTAGATATGAAACAAATGATGCTGCATGTATATTAACCTGTTACTAACCCTCTATGGACTGGTAACTCTCAGGACACGGTGACAGAACTTCTCTGGATTCTGACAAAACACCACACAGCCCTGATCCTACAACAGTAAAGCTTGAAGGTAATAAACAGAACTAACAGTATTAACATGTTAAAGAAAACTGAGCTGTTAGCACTTCTGAAACATCTGTTATATGTGTAGTAAACTGTATGTTGCATATTTTATGTCAGATCCTAATGTGCTATTTTCTGGTTAACGGGAAGTGACACATTTCCTTTTGCACATTTGTGCCAAGGGATAAGACCAGTCTAGTATAGAAAGGAAAGATACATCTCCAAGTGTGTGCATGTGATGAGTCATGTAGAAGATTAAGAATGTTGTACAAGACAGAATGTGTGTCTAAAATGATAATAATATACAGTAATGTGTGTGTGTGTGTGTGTGTGTATGTGTGTGTATGTGTGTATAATAGCTGTTATCTGCAATTATTTTTAGATTTTCATTATTTCTTAAAACAAGTAAAAGTATTTGCCAATGTAGTTAGATAACTTCACTTAATAATTTAAGTAAAAAGGCTAGTAATAAGTTATATGATAAATAAGAAATATTCTTCCAACTCTCTCGAAATGAGAAATATTAGATATATCAACTAGATTTAAAATTTCACTTAGCAAGATATATTTTTTATGCAGTGTAGATGGTCGTGACACTCAGTAGCCCAGAGCTTAAACTAACTTAAAAATGAGCATTTAGGGGGTGCCATTCCTGTCTTCTGCCCAGGGCCCCAGAATCACTAAATCTGCCCCTGTTTTAAATTATTTGAATGTTACAGTGTTTTTACTGGCTAAGATAAATAGTTTTTCAATTTTCAAGAATTTCAAAGATTTTGCACAGAACTGAGATCAAAATGTTAGGAAAAATGTTGCTGAGCTTGACTGCCATATTTTAAATTAATTTTAGAGTAAGTCATGTTAAATTATGTTTAATAATTCTTACAGGTTTCAGGAATGAGAGCTTTGAAGTGGGCAGCAGGGTCACTTTACTCTGCACCAACACAAAGATAGCATGGAGTGAGATGATTTATGTCATCTGGAAAATCAGCACACAAGAGAAGAACTGCAGCATTGCTGTGGCCAGAAATGACTCCAATTTTGACACGTGCCAAGATGGAAAGAAGATTAATATTAGTAAAGGTGGAGACTACAGTCTGATCATCCCTCACTTTTCCATTAAAGATGAAGGAAATTACACCTGTGATGTGTCCTACCATGCGGGGGGCTACGTGGAAAACATATATGTGTCTGCATGGGGTAAGCTCAATGCCATTTTACATGAAGAACCCACTGCTGTGGGCTTGTGAGGCTTCAGGCCAAGTGCTTACATGCTCTGAGCATGTAAAATGGCTTTACTTTGAAGCCTACGTTGAGATTTAGCTTCACAAATAATCTGTCTGTGAATGAGCCCTTTTACTATTCTAGGAATGAATATCACTCATGTTTTGTTGCAATAGGCTTTGCTTCCTTGTTTTTTGGGGACCCAGAGAGCCAATGATGGCAGTGTAAAAATGATAAATTTATTTTTCCACTTCATATTGTTGCTTTCTTTCTTTTGATTTAATTTAAACCCAGTACACAGAAAAAGACTGAAGCCATAACCCTCCTTTTTGTGACAAAGTAGGTAAGAAAACATACAGTGGCATGCAAAAGTTTGAATACTTTTAGTTAAATTACATATTTTGTTTAATTTAACAAATTAAACAAAATAACATCCTCTACAGGGAACATGTTGCATTTTTCTAAAAACTTTTGTGCGGTGCTGTTTCCATTGACTTTCTATTTCCTGCATTAATGTCTTTTGGCTGGGTGTCCAAACTTTTGCATACAACTGTATCATATTTTTGTTAATTTGTGATGGATTTTTTTGGAAAAATAGCTCACACAGCCCCAAGTGCAACACAGCCAGTACATGATATTAACATATATTAGGAGAATATCATTGATATCATGTCTTAACATATCTTTTGACCTTTAGATTAGATGATCACCTCATGCCAGAAAGTCCATATTTGTCTGATAAAATGTCTCTTTTTCTGCCATTAGTGCAACCAAAGATGGCTGGCTGGCTGGAAACTAAAGGTGGCCACACTTTTGCCATCTGCGAAGTTCAGAGTTTACCAGAAGCTTCTATCCTATGGGAACCTCTGTCGAACTCCTCTTTACCTGAGACAAACTCATCCAGAGAAGCTAGTGGAATTTTCATAGTCACGAGCCGGTTACAGCTGCCTCGAAATGCCTTTGACAAAAACCTGACCTGTGTAGCTGCCAGCCACTCCAAGTGGCCAGAGACTCGATTCACCATCTTTACAGGCAACGGTAGGCACTTAGATTGTCTAATGCACCTGAAAGGCACTGGCAGCATCTTGAAGAAATACACGAGCTAGACAGTCTGACTGGGGCTGTAGTGATTAGCATTTTTTATGTGATGATTTCTAGGGATGGACCAATTTTGGAATTATAGGGCAATGTCAATACAAAATACTTATCATGTATGTACAGTCTAATGTGAAGGTTTGAATACTCCTGGTCAAATTACATGTTTTTTTTTGACTTTCTTAATCACAATATATTAACAAACATCTGCAGAGCACATTTAAACCTTTTTTTTGCTTTTCTGCAAATTAGTGAGCAATTTCTAGTTATTTGATGAGTTTAACATGTTAAAAAATGAAAATAAAATATAAAAATAGAAACTCAAAATCCTGTGCTATAACTTTTGCACAGGCCACATTTATGCTTTGTGTTTTGTGTGTCAAGTTCATCAAATAAACAGTAATCGTGCATTAAAATGTGTAGAAGTGTGCTCTGTAAAGAATGTGGTAACTTATTTTCAGTTAGAAAATCAACATAAACGTCATTTAACCAGGATACTCAAACTTTTGCATGTGACTGTATCTGCAAGTGCAGACAGTACAGAGTCATTTGCCATTTTTTTCTATGAGGTTACAAGGGTCTTCAAGGGTTACAAGGGTTTTCTAAAGGGTTCTATAGTGATACAAATAAATAAAATGCAGATATTCTGCAAATATCAGTTTGAAGTACAGGTCAAATGTAATCTGTCAGATGCCAATATTTTTTTTAAAAGAAACATCTGCTGATACTGATATGATTCCACTGTGATGATGTCACTGTGCATCCCTAATCATTTAATTCCTCATAGTTTCTTAATACTCACCCAATTTGACTGACTCTGTCTCTCTTTAGATCACTTTGCCAGGATTTACAGTCAGCTGAAAGTTGGCCATGAACATAATGCTGCTGTTTTATCATTAGCATGTTTTAGTTAGTACCGTCACGTATCAGCTTTCATCACTGATTTTGTTTAGTCTGTACACTGAAACAGACTGACTATTGTTTTTAACACACTCTTACACAGTTCAAATCAAATGAGCAGTCTATGTGAATGTTACTTGTAGCTTTTCATAAAACCTTGTTTATAAAATTAATTTAAAATCACCCTTAATGAAAAAGAGACCTGTACGATAAAGTATAGTTTGTTACCTCCTGACAGAATAGTTTAAAGTTTATTTTAAAAAGCTGCTAAAGTTTGTACTGAACACTAGTGGCTTTTGATGAATGATCTCCTTTCACACCCAATCTGGGACAGTCCCTACTCCAGTCTGTAAGATTTACTTATGCAACAGGAGCTTTCTGTATTAATATTTCACCTCCTGTCATATGTGCTGTCTTGCCAGACAATCCTGTTAAATGGCCTTTTATTCTTCTGGGCGTTTGTGCCACCTGCTCCATCGTGACTCTCCTGACTGGTCTCTACATCATGCGGGAAAAACTTGGACGGTTAAGGTAGGATGCTTTCTGAAGACTGATATTAGAAGATGGTCACATTTTATTTTTCCTATAGATTTTCTACAGAAGCTTTAATTGTTAACAAACTTGATTTTCAACGGGGTTAATGACGGGTTTAGATTTTGGGTCAAAGTTAAAGTTGGGGTTAGGTTTAGATTTATATTTAATAGAATCTATTACATTCTACTTAAGGTTAATTTGCAATTAATACACTGTTAAAGTTTAGAATCACTTATATTAATAATAGATATTCAATAATGACATACAATAGAGTTTACATTGAAATGATCTAAACTTAATTTGTCAAGGCAAATAAAAAAGGCAAAAAATTAGTGTTTTAACATTTTATTTTTTTTTATTACACACTTCTGTAACCTAAGAATAGCTCAGCCAGTTTGCATTGAAGTCCCCGTAGTTACTGAATAATAAGCTGTATTATGTAATAAGCCTGGGATTTTAAGGGGCTATTTTCAATAAGTTCAGGCTGTCATTTTTAATTCAGTTAGCTCAAATAATAAATTAACACTGTCTTAAATTCTGCCAATTAATCCGAACTTCAATTTAGAATAGTAGTAGCAAAGTAGCAAGTTTTTTAACCTTTTAAAGTTGAAACATTTTTACAGTGATTAAAAAATATACTTTAATGATCAATTTACAGTATTTACTTGTCCTAAAAAAAACTATTAATGGCTATTTTATCAAGATTTGGTCACTGCTTTTTGAGACTGAGGCATTCTGGATAAGTAAATTCTCAATACTATACAGCATTCTCCATTATTATGAAATCATCGACAGCTCTGTTTATCAAAAAATGCTTAAATTTTCTAAATCCTACAATTTTTGAAACCTCTGAAAGATTAGCTTCATATTAGTCTCTTGTATATGTGCATCTGAACGAAATTTGTTCTATATTATTCAAGGCAGTGATTCCAACATTTTCAAAAACACTGGTTTGTAGCTAAATGCTAGTTAAATGTTGTAGCTAAATGTTAGTTAAAGGCAGCGAGTCAGTATCTACCAAGCATCTACGGTGGACTCCTAAAATCATACGCAACCTGTTTTTCTTTCTGTAGGAAGTAACAACTTTTGTGTAAAAAGACAATGGTCACTGGTGCATTAGTCATTTTTTGATACCTTTCCATTGTGTTTTATGGGCTTCGTTTATAAACTGCTCATAAATATGATTTATATAGTGTAACAACTATTAACACAATAAGCTCATTCATGACGAAATGAATTAATGTCATATAAAATTTTTTTTCTCTGTTTTAAATGTGGGAAGCTATAGAATTTGTGCACAGTTTTGTCTAGTAAACATAGCATTTACAAAGCCTCATACAGGCATATGCAAAAGTTTGAAAATCCCCATCAAATTACATATTTAGTTGATTTTTGAAGTGAAAATAAGAACATATGAAATTTTACTGCACAATTTCTGTTTTTATGTATTAACCATAAAATTTGCCATAACTGGCATAGGTCACATATAATGTGTTTTTCCCTCAATATGTTAAATTCAGCAAATAAACAGTAATTGTGCATTTAAATGTGCAACATGGAACAACTTTAATGTTATGCCATAAGTCATATTAAAATAAAGCGATTTAATCGGCCACCTTACAGAAAGGGGTCTTTTTCTAGACTAGTCCGGTCCTGGACTGAACTTCAAGTGTTAAATTTACTTTAGAAATCATTACTGAATGTACTAAAAAACAGAAGCTGATATGTAACTGAGGATTAAACATTTTGGTTTTAGCCGAAAAATTTTAAAAGTATTTCAGCAAGATTAATATTTATTTTATACAAGCAACCGACACATCTCTGCTACAAATAAAAACAATCTTTATTTTCTGGATCTACCATATATGAATGATTCAGTCAAAAGTAGAGTGAATGCAAACGCAACAGCTAACCTCATATGCAGACTGAACGAGCTAGTTGTGACAGCCACTAAAAAGACTGTTGAATTGATGCAATTAATTCAACCTGAATACATGAGAATTCAGCATATTCATCATAATAAATACCATATGTGAAAAGATAGTGTCTCAAATGTGGCAAATGTTTTAGAAAAAAATACTAGAAAAAGAAATACTAGAACAATAAAAATGAAATAATGTTTACATTAATTCTTAAAACGGTTTTTGATAATCTGTGCATAAAAACTTCCAAACAATTGTTGAATATATTTGGGGGATATTAACTCATTTTTTTACTATGAGAGGTTTAATTGTAACTGTATTAAAACTAACCTCGCCATGCCAGCTCTCACTGTGAGTTATTTACATGCTTCATACAGTCACATGCAAAAGTTTGAATATCCCCCATCAAACTACGTTTTGTTGATTTTTGAAGTGAAAATCAGAACATATCCTCAACAGATGACACACTTAAACATAGAATTGTTTCTGGAAATTTTACCGCACAATTTCTATTTTTATATATTAATCATAAAGAAGGTCACATCTGAGTTTTCCCCCCAGTATGTTAAATTCAGCAAACTAACAGGAAATTATGCATTTTAAATTGTGCAAAACACAATTAATTTAACCTGAATATTTGAGAATTCAGCATACTCATCATAATAAGCATGATTTGTGAAGAGATGTTGAATATATATGGAGAATATGGACCCTCATTTTTTACTTTGGGAGGTTTAGTTGTAACTGTATTAAAACTAACCTCGCCATGCCAGCTCTCATTATGAGTTATCGATAAGCTTCATATACAATTTCTAAAAATATATGGGGGATATGGACACTCATTTTTTACTTTAGGAGGTTTAGTTGTAACTGTATTAAAACTACCCTCGCCATGCTAGCTCTCACTGTAAGTTATTTATGAGCTTCACAGACAATTGTTGAATATATATGGGGGATGTGGACTCTTTTGTTTCAGCATATTCATCATAATAAATAAAATTTGTGAAAAGATAGTGTCTCAAATGTGGCAAATGTTTTAGAAAAAGAAATATTAAAACAATAAAAATGAAATAACGTTTACATTCATTCTTAAAACGGTTTTTGATAATCTGTGCATAAAAACTTCCAAACTTCCAATGTTCTATGAAGCTCATAAATAACTTACAGTGAGAACTAGCATGGCAAGGGTAGTTTTAATACAGTTACAACTAAACCTTCTAAAGTAAAAAAAAATGAGTGTCCATATTCCCAATATATTTTTAAAAATTGTTATAACTGTATTAAAACTAACCTCGCCATGCTAGCTCTCACAGTGAGTTTAAATGCTTTAAATGTTGCTATGTTACAGCTACCTAGATGGAGATGAAAACAATATAGGAGTGAATTCTAAGACCCAATAATGAAAAAAAAACGTGTCAAAAAATAATCTTTAGGGTGAATCTATGGTTTTATGAAAACATGATGTTCTACTTGGACCTATTCAACTGCATGAAGTATCCACGTTACATTTTACCCCCATTCTCCCTTATCTGAGCCTTGTTTCTTTAGACAAACAGCATTGGTGTCTCTAATTTATTATGCTGTTTTTGATTTGCAGTGTGTTTAAAAAGATTTGCTGCTCATCCCAAATCTCCCAACCATCAAAAGAGGAAAAAACTCCACAGGTAAAGAACATTGTTTTGTGATAGTGTCATTTCTTCTTCAAAGACTCATTTTAATAACTTTCTTTAATGTGTAAGTTTGGATGCGGTGTAACAATGTCGATGAATCTCTTGGTTCAGCCTCGTGACACTGAAGAAGTGGAACCCTACGCCAGTTACGTGCAAAGAGTGAACTCCATCTACAACTCCTCTGCTGATCTCTTCAACGCTTGAACCACATTTAGACACATGCATGGACACGCAAACCCACACAGTTTGATGAGATTGCAGATTATGGCAAACATGAACACAATGCAGAGTGGAGTGAGTTTTGCACATGACAAATGCAACACTCATCACTGCACACCTACTCTGTGGACAAAAGTGTGTGCTAATACAGCTGGAAACAAAGGCTAATGAAACCCCTTCAAAAAACCAGCCTTCAACAAACAGACGCTGATGAGAGAAACACAAACCAGAGTGAGTCAAAGCAAGAGAAGGAGTGGAAAGTGAGGGATTCGCCATGTCTTCATGATATGAAGACTCTGCATGACTGAAGTGAGCAGTGCTTCTGTTGCTCAAACTACGTCCAAACTAATCCACCAAGCTTCACAGATCACAGGCCTAAAAGAGACTTAATGCAGAGGGGCCTTCAAGACTCTAAGGAAGGTTTCTTTTGACGTGGCCTTGATTTCCAGCTGACTGTATCTCATCCACTGATAGAGCTGGAGTGGAGTGAGGAATGTTTCAGTGAATCAAATAATCACAGAGACTTGACAATAAGGGATTTATTGCTCTTTTCTCCATGAGAGATGTGTGCCAGTCTCACTTCCCTCACTTCCATTGTGATTTCAGTTTTGGAGCTCTTCACTGTATATAGTATATTCAAAAATCCCACAGTGGCACAATATATATTCTGCATATATTTGGAACAATGTATTACACCAATGTACTCCAGAACTGCTGTCAGAGACCACCCTTCATTTATTTTTTCATTTCCAGTCAAAAGGGCCATTAGGTTGAAGTTATTCTGGGCATGAGGAAAAGGCAGAAAATTTCAAAAGAAGCCACAGCAAAAAAAAATTAATATTACATTGTTTCAGTATTTAATGTGTCCATTCTGTACCATTACAGCAGCTTCCATTCTCTTTTCATGAGACTTTCAATTTATCAGAGTAATCTGCAGGAATATTTTTTCACTAATTTTTCTAAGTTCAGTCTTAGAAGTTTGTTGCATTTTCTGCTTCTAACGATCCAAATAATCCCAAACACATTCAGTGATGACGAGGTCTGGACTCTGGGGTAGTCAGTCCATTGTTCTGAGAACACCAGCAGAGCTTCATTTTCTCCTTTCTCTCAAAGATTAAAGCATTAAGTACTGTTTACCTAATGGGGACAGTTTTGGTGATCTACCAGGTCTTGTACGCTTCTTAGGAGTACCACTGTCTCTTTATCTTTTGAACATTTAGTGAAGTCCAGTTTTTGGAAACTATGTTTTTACTTATTTTCCTTTGGCTTTTATTTTCTTTGTGTGGATTATCTTATATCTAATCACCCCAGAAAATCTCCTGTAAAATGAATAATTAACTTGAATAACTTCGCCTTTTTACTGTAATGAAGAGTGGTCACTGACTTTTGCACAGTACTGTCTGTAAGACCTTATTTAGATTAATCTCTTCTTTTCTTCCATAAGCCAGAATAAAACACTGTACATTATTTAAAAAGTTGCTCTGTTTAATTTTCTTCAGTTTTGATCAATTCCATGCCAAATTAATTCAACTTCTTTGAGTCAAGTGGAATTTAAATGTGATAAACAAGTGATTTATATGCGATAAGACATTTTTCAGTTTGCAGGGTTTTTTTCTTTTTTTTCCCTCTGTGGGTTTCATTTGACATCCTTCCTCTGACTATACCCCCCCTGAACATCACGTGGTGCATCACCGTTTGCACAGTACGAGGGCTTTTTTTTATAGTCACTGTAACAAACATGCTAAACAAGAAAAAAAGAAGAAGCTTGATGTAAATTTACAGTCAGTAACCTACACCTACACTGTGCACCCTGAACGAACCTGCATAAATTAATAAATGATTGCATATAGTAACAAACAAACAATAAATAAATAGAAGAAATAAGGCTTATAACATGAATCATTATCACCTCCTTAGGCAGTGATTTGCAGAAAGTATAAAGTCAGAAGCATCAAGGACTTTGTTTGCATTTGTTTTTTCTGTTTTTAACCATTTATTTTTATTGTGATTTGACTGGTTTTACTATATTAGACATCTGACTGGTGCTAATTTCATTAGTTCATCAGTTTCATTCATTAGTTGCTGGTGTTGTGGTCAAGCCTATTTAAGGTGAGCCCGAGGCAAGACTGAGACTTTGTGATAGATGAGACTGAGTCAAGCCTGAGACTAGATTAAGATTTTTCTCGGTATATAAAAATAAAAAGAAAAAAGAGAAAAGACTGAAGTTAATTTGTGGTTCATTGTACATTCATTATCTTTCATTACTATGGACATTAATTTCAAATTTATTTATTTCTAATTATATTTTATATTTTATTTGGTAAACCGTAACATTAAACAACATATAGCCTAAATTCATTATTCAGTATTATTACATAATAGTCTTAGTCCAACTTTGCACTATAACTTCTGGAAGTAAATGATGGTTAAGGTCATTCTCTGTCTTCTCTGAAAATAACTCAGAATCACCACCTAAAGACAACTGAATATAAACTAAACAACACACATACTTTTGTATTCTTAAATGAAAACAATATCATTCTGATCTGTCTTCACAGGATCCCTGGATTTTGGAACCAGTCAACATCAACAAACAAAGTATACCCAATTAGGCATCATGGAAGAGGCACTAATTAGATCCTGAGCCGGTTCAGGTTCCAGTTACCTCAGACTGTTAATTTAAACGGTCTTGAGACAGAGGCTGAACTCAAACACTACAACACTATTTGTTTCATTATTAAAACCCAATTATCAGCTCTTTATTTAACAGGTAAGCAAATTCTTACCTTCTTAATAGCATTTCTATTTAAAACCAAATATTTACTGTTAGTGTGAAGACCAGGGATGAATAATGGTCTCACAAGACCAATTTCAATTTCAACTTTTTGGCTCAGTTTAACATGCGCAGAGATGTGTTCTCTGTAGAGGATGTGTGATTTTCTCTCAGACACTATGTGGGGCATGGTTTGAGATGAGGGGCCTTTATTTGACAATCACATATTCAGGTTATTTATTAATCTAATTTTTTATCTACAGCAAACTGACCCTGTCTTTGAGCTGCCCTGGTGTTTGTGGTCAAAGGCTTCCCATGACTGGTGGCAGGGTTTTAGTCGTCCCACTGGCCCAATCAGTAATTCAAAGATTAGCATCAAATAATTCTAGGTGTCAAGGTCCCCAGCAGCATTGCACGGCTGAAGTAATGAAATAGCACTGGAAATTTTTCTCCTGGCTCATTTCTGTTACACTAGGTCTGACTTACTCTGGCTGGGTGGTGAAACATTAAAACCGGAAGAGTTTGAAGCCTCGTAGTGTTGATGCCTCAGGTGCTCATCTTCCCCTTTCTTTTAAATGAATCAAGCTAGAAGGGGCAAGAGTGGAAACTCAGGGGCGAGCGCGTGTTTCTCACTCACTGTCATAGGAAACAAAAGATCAGATTAGTGTCAGATGTCGCTTTGACACACCCTCGCTGGAGCAGCCAGTGGAACCATACCTCACCTTTTGATATGATTATCTTGCGAACTTGGGATTCCCCAGAATTTATAGCTGAAAGGTGCCCTCTTTTGATCTACTTTTAGAGCCTGGGGTGTTGTGCTGAGCAGTAGAGGCGGTTTGTGTTTCATTATGATGCCTCAGATGAGCCATGAGCAAGTGGCTCCATCTACAGGAGGATTATGATACTGTTTTTGTTAAAGAGAGCATAGATTATAGTATTAATAACAAAGAACACAGACGTTATGACATACTTTACAGTGCTGTGAAAAAATAACCTGATTTCTTCTATTTTTGCTAGTTTGTCACATTTAAATGTTTCAGATCATTCAGCTAATTATAAGATAAAGACAACACGAGTAAATACAAAATACATCAGTGTGGAGGAATTTTGGCTCGCTCTTCTTCGCAGAATTGTTTTAATTCAGCTACACTGGCGGGTGTTCAAGCACGAACAGCCCGTTTAAGGTTTCGCCACAGCATCTCAATGGGATTCAAGTCAGGACAAGTCAAGTCTCAGCCGCTCCAAAACCTTAATTTTGTTACCTTTGAGCCATTCAGAGGTGGACTTGCTTGTGTGCTTTGGATCGTTGCCCTCCTGCATAACCCAACTGGGCTTGAGCTTTAGGGCATGAACTGACAGGCGGACATTCTCCTTCAGGATTTTCTGACAGAGAGCAGAATTCATGGTTCCATCAATTACGATAAGTCATCAGGTCCTGAAGAAGCAAATGCAGCCCCAGACCATCACACTACCACCACGTTTGACTGTTGGTATGATCGTCTTATGGTGGAATGCAGTGTTAGCTTTACGCCAGAGATAACAGGACCCATGTCTTCCAAAAAGTTCCACCTTTGACTTATCAGTTCACAGAATGTTATCCCAAATGTCTTAGGGGGTCATCTAGCTGTTTTTTGGCAAATGCAAGACATGCCTTATTTGCCCAATGTCTTTCTCATTGTGGAATTGTGTACATTGATCTTAACTGAGACAAGTGAGGCCTGTAGTTCTTTTAGATGTTTGTCTGGGTTCTATCGTGACCTCCTGGATGAGCCATCAATGCACTCTTGGTGAAATTTTGGTAGGCCGGCCCCTCCTGGGAAGGGTTCTAAGTTTTCTCCATTTGTTGATTGTGGCTGCCAATGTGGCTCGCTGGATTTGAATCTTTTTAGAACGTGGCATCATGTGCTGTGTTTTGAGACCTTCTAGTCTGCTTCACATTGCCAGAAAGGTTCTACTCAAGTGATGTTTAGATTCAACAGGTCTGGCAGTAATCATGCCTGGGTGTGGCTAGTGAAATTGACCCCAGTAGTCAATTAAAAATTTGGTAAACTGGTTGATTTAGTAGATAAGGGGACAAGGTAGGGCTGAACAGCATTTTTCCCTCAATAAATGAAAAAATTATTTTAATAACAGCATTTTGTGTTGACTTGAATCATTAAATATTAAAATTAGTTTGGTGATCTGAAACATTTAATATGTAGATAAATAGATGATTGGCTTTAAATAATGTGCTTAGATGCCCAAGACCTTTGCACAGTATTATTCATATAACTGAAAACAAAAACAAGCCTCTATCAATGATGCCGTGTTTGACCTTGCATCACCTAGCTTGGTGGCAGGAAGTTGAAGCTTGGAATTGCGTAACTTTTAAATTATGTGCGCTCAAGCTACAAAATGTGAAAAACACAGTATTGTTAGCAACAAGCTAGCTTGGTGAAATGACTTTAACGTTCATAATGTATTTCTCTTCTCGAAACTCAGTGAACTTCAGGGTCAGTGTTACTAACTACTGTGTCTGTAGGCTGATTTAAAGAAAATCTAATTTTAAAGTAAATAACTTGTTTGACGTCATATGCTGAACTTGGAGTTGAGAACACCATCCCAACTTTCTAAATAGGGGTTCCAAATCAATGAGATTTACTTTTATGCACCTACTGCCACTTTAACTTGTCCATCCTTTCAAGTTACAGCTGTGTCCTCCCACCACAACTGTTCATAAAGGAATCGCTGACATTCTGTTCCCCCTCAGAGAGACACTAACATTCACACAAGCAGCTACCTAATCTCACTTGAGCTGCCTGTGAATTTCTTTCTCACATGCATTTCTGAGGAGATTAGATATAGGATAATCCACTTGCATAAGGAAGAGGAAAGTTCAAAAGTTCAAAAAATTACTAAAAATGATTTCATGACTGACACTGACCTGAATTTATAAAGATTTATTCCAACAAGTATCAGTTCTCACAAAGACTGGTTTTGTCACCTTTAATGCCAAGTTGAGATAAATTTTATCTGTGTTAGGTGATGTCATAACACCGTCTGGGGTGAAATGACACTATGAAGCGTTGAGACAACTGATATCTTTGTGCCGTTGTATTCATTTTCAGTTCTCCTGTTCACAATGGTGTCTATTTTACATTTCGCAGTTTTTAAAATACCTCATACAACTCACACTGTACATTTTAATGTTAGATGCTGCATTGCTTTCTAGAGTTGCCAGATCCTGGCAACATTCC